TTGAGGCAGAGCCTCTCTGTGTCACCCAGGCTGGAGTGCAGTGGCACAGTCTCGGCTCACTGCAACCTCCACCTCCCAGGTTTAAACAATTCTTCTGTGTCTTTAGTAAAGACAGGATTTCACCATATTGACCACGCTGGTCTCAGCTCCTGACCTCGTGATCCACCCGCCTTGACCTCCCAAAGTGCTGGGACTACAGGTGTGAGCCACCACGCCCAGCCCAGTTTCCTTTTTATAAAAAAATATTACAAAATAAACATTAAAATTATATATTCTGGTTACTAAATTATAGTAATTTTTGGTTATAAATCAAATTTTGTTTGCTAAATTACAGTAAGTACACCATCAGTAAACACACCTACCTACTAACTTTTTCCTTGTTAATATATTTGAACTCCATATTTATGAGCATGATTGTGCCACAAAGTTATCAACATTTAAAGTCACTTAGTTGAAATCTAAATACTGGATATGTGGGTCTTAATTATATAGTTACAGAAAAATAAGAGAGTAATAGTTTAGTTCATCCGTGGATGACTATTCTATACTGTTAGACATCAGGATGTTGACTCCTTTTTGGGGAAAAGGAATAATGACTGGAAGGAAGCACAAAGGAAGGCTTTTGAAATTCGAGGAACATTCTATATATCCTGATTTGGGTGCTAGTTACCCATGTGTGTTCAGTTCCTGAAAATTCATTGAGCTGTATACACTTATAATACCTGCAATTAAAAGTGTCTTAAAATCAATGGATGTAATATAGGTTGTCTCCTTCTCTTGTTAAAAATTCCAATCCAACATTAATTCATTCAGAAATGTCCATCCTAGGCCTAACATCCTTATCTTTTCACCTGAGCAGAAAAGCATTCTTGCCAGGTAAAAACAGCCCAACTATAGAAATATTTATAATAACAAAAATTTTTTAGTCTGGGGGAAAAACAAGAAAATCACATTTTAACGTAAGTAATTTTACACATGGAAGAATTAAATGTGTCAATAAAGCCACCAATTTTGTATGCCTCATTTTCTAAAATATAAATCTGCTGATTTTTTATTCATATTATTGTACACTTACGTAAAAATACAAAAAGTTTAAGAAGCCTAGGCCTTCTAGTCTACCATTTCTAAATACTTAGATAACTGATATAGCAGGACTAGACTTATAACTTAAGGAGAATTCAAATAATCTAATAATTTAAGTGGCCTTATCTTCAAAAAAGAAAGGCAAATAAACACTGATATGAAACCAAAATCTACCACATAACAGATTTAAAAGACCAAAAAAATAGATGAACCTTTAAAACATGAGAAGTGAAAAAGGCCAGTCACCAAAAAGCACATATTGTGTGATTCCACTTTTTTTATTTATTTATTTTATTTTTGAGACAGGGTCTCACTCCATCGCTCAAGCTGGAGTGCAGTGGTGCAATCCCAGATCACTGCAACTCCTGCCTCCTGGGTTCAAGCAATTATTCTGCCTCAGCCTCCCAACAATCTGGAATTACAGGGGCATGCCACCACCCCCAGTGATTGATTGATTGATTGATTGGTAGAGATGGGGTTTCACCATGTTGACCAGGTTGGTCTCAAACTCCTGACCTCAAATCATCCACCCATCCCAGCCTCCCAAAGTACTGGGATTACAGACATTATTCTATTTATATGAAATGTCCAGAATAGGCAAACCCATAGATACAAAAAATAGACTGGTGGTTGCCAGGAGCTAAGGGAAATGGGGAATGAGAAGTGATTGTTAATAGGTATCAGGTTTCTCTTTGAAATCAGGAAAATGTTCTAAAATTGATTATAGTAATGATTGTATAACTGTGAATATACTAAAAACCATTCAATTATACCCTTTAAGAGAGTAAATTGTTTGATCATCTGCAGGCTTGAAAAAAAGGGGAAAAAAGAAAAAGAAAGAGTAAATTGTATTGCATGTGAATAATACGATAAACCAGTTTTTTCTTTTTTTTTTTTTTTTTGAGACGGAGTTTCACCCTTGTTGGCCAGACTAGAGTGCAATGGCACTATCGCAGCTCACCGTAACCTCCACCTCCCAGGTTCAAGTGATTCGCCTACCTCAGCCTCCCGAGTAGCTGGGATTACAGGCACCTGCCACCACACCTGACTAATTTTTTTTTAAAAACTTTTTAGAAGAGATGAAGTTTCACCATGTTGGTTAGACTGGTCTCAAACTCCTGGCCTCAGGCCTTCCAAAGTGCTGGGATTACAGGCAGGAGCCACTACGCAGCCACCAGTAATTTTTTAAAAGGCAAAAAATCTGACATCAAATTTTGGGGAAAAATTAAAAATAAGAAAGAAAAAAGAAAAAAAGGCAAAAAATCTATTCCACAAGTATATCAAGATCATAAAATCCACTTTTAGTGTTTGATTGAATTATATGCTCTGCTGAACTTGACAGATGCTTTTCAAAGCAAAATGACATTAAGTCCATTTCCAGATTTTTTCTCAATAAGACAATATTTGAATATTTCTCGTGTGTGTGTGTGTGTGTAAGAGAGAGAGAGAACTGGGTTTATTAGGAGTGACAGTAAACCAGCCTAAATACCATACTGCAAAATAATGTAGCTAAAAAACAGGAGACTTATGATGACACAGGCAGCTGGGAGGGATCAGGGGTGTACTGGCAACATGAATATTAGTCATCAGTTAAAAACTTTCCAGCCCTATCTGCTAAGGTTTAGAACACCTGAAGTCTTTAAAGTCTTTATATAAATTAAATATCTCTTTCAGAAATCCCCATTACCCTCAAGGAAATTGTATAAAGTTAGCAAATCACTCTAATACTAGATATACTAATATTTTATTTCCCAGGAAGACACACATACACAAAATCCAGAAAATAATTGTACCTTAAAATGAAGGTAATTAGGTTGGATTGAAATTTACCCAATTTGAAAATTATATGAAAGCAAAACTCACCTAAATTTTAAAATGTGAATGTCAGTATGAACATCCTACTTCTGATATTAGCTAACAGATTAATTTTTAACAGAATTTATATGTTCTTTCTTGTATTAAAAAGTTATTTTAAAAAAGGAAAAAAATCAGATCTTGTGAGACTAAAAAGTTATTAAAATGCTAAATCAGTTGATTTTTCATCAATATGCTTCCCTATAATGAATCACATCACATCCCTTCTGTGACTAACAAATATTTCATTTTAGAGACCACAATAATCACCTACAAAAAATAAAATTACCGACGGTCATGATTTTGTTTCTCAAAACTATTGGGACAAACTACTGAATGCTAGACCTGCCTTTTTTCTAATCAGGGTATACAGTCCCCAAACCGCAGATGTCAATCACTGATAGTCTCATCACAAAATAACACCGGGTGCCCCCAAAGCCAGAGCTCTTTGTGGTTCCATCGAGTTATGTTATCACCAAACTACAATGACAAAAGTCACACAAGGTGGTCAAGCTCCCAAAGCTCAGGAAAAGACTGACAAAATACCAACACCCCTCAGCGGGGTGGTGACGTCATCCTCCCCACGTCCTGCTCCCTCCTTCCTTCCTTCTATCCCCGAGCGTTCCGGGAGCTTTCCAGAGACCCTCCCCGCCCGGAATCGGAAAAGCGACCATCTTCCCTAACCCCGCAGCCGGAAGTGGAGCGCAGCCAGCCACAGCACTCACCCTGGAAGAACAGGACGCCCAGCACAGGGAAAAGAGCGCAGCCACGGCCTCCAGCCGCTCCGCTCTGCTGCATCCCGCCAGCTCTTCAGATGCTTGCACACCTTGTTTACAGCTCCCAGTAACGACACAGGTAACACCGGAAGTGACGTCAGCAGGAGGCAGTGAGACAACTTAACGATCCGAAGTTACCATAGGAACCTGGCTTCTTTCCAGAACCACACCTGGTTTCAGTGGCCCCTATTCGCTAACTTTCAGTTGGAAGCTAATTGCTGTCTTCTGCTTGAAAATTAAGTAGGTTACAAACTTGGAATCTTTACAATTTTGTTTTATGCAGAACTAAATAATTGTGATGCTCTGACTGCATTCCAGACATGGTTTTTACATCTCGAGATTATTTTAGTTGAAGGTTCTCAGAATACACTCCCGTAAATTTAGAGTTCAGAAACACCTGGGAGATCATACAACATAGATAAATATGTATTAGGCGCTTGTGGTAGTAATATATACCACGAGCATCTTTGGTTCCTGCTCTTTTTAGTACAGCTAGTACAGCATCCAGAATTGAGTGTTTATTAAGTTACTTTTGGCGATGGCAATGATGATCAAATCATTACAGCCTGTGTTAGAGAAAAAGGGAAACTGGGATTTGTGTATCTTTGGTTGGAAAAGCAAAAAACTTATGTTATCAAAGTACCTGAAGTGAGATGGTGTCATATACTTCTGAATAAGAGATGGTACAATAAGTAGGCTGCTTTAATAATCAGTAAGCCTCTTCCCTGGGAATTGCCACGTCAGTGAAAGCAGTAGGAGAATAAAAGGATGCTTTCGCTTTGGAGAAAAATTAATAACTTTCCATTTTTCAATTTCTATTCCTTTACTAGACTTGAAACCCAGTAGTTTTCCCTATTAAAACTAGTTTAGCAACGTACTAAATGGAATCTTTTATACTGTTCTTTGAAAGAGCCCTCAAACTAACTAGTATTGTTGTGCCCAATTCCCAGCTATCCAAAGCAATGTGAAAATTCTGTGGAAATCCGTATACTTCTCCATTGTTGACTTCTAGGTTGTCTCTACTAAGAAAACTTTTCACTAAAGATAAAATATATATCCATCTGTTTCCCCTGCAGTGTAGAACTTTTAGATATGTATATACACAAATTACATAATTCATCATTCTTTATTACTAAAATTTATTTACATAGTGTTTAATGCATAATAAAAAATAAATTACAATACAAAAGTGCTCTTTAGGAAGGAGACACTAAACAACAGGCCCATATTACTGCTTGACTATTTAGCCAAGACATCAGCTACAAATTTTGCTGGAAAAACTGTCTGTACATTTTTAACTACTTCTTCATTATGCTTATGGACCATCATCTAGGACATCTGTTTGAAGAAATATCCAGTTATAATATTTTCAAAGGTTAGGATTGTGAAGAAAAAATATAAAATGTGATTAAAGGAAATACAGCCTTCAGATGTAAGTTACTGTGCATTTAAACTGCACAGTTTAAAACTGCATTAAAACTTTGCTTTTTTAGACAGTATAAAAGGCAGAATGAGCTATGTAATGAATTTCAGAATTGAGTTTCATATGTAAATCATACAAATTTTTTAAAAATAGTATTGGAAAAATATCAAGGTCCATACCTTTAAATACAGATAATCTATTTGAAAATTCCATTTTGTTAAAAGAAATAACATCTGCAGCCTAAAAACTGAAAATATCAGTCTGTAAAGATTGATCTTGAGCCTAAACTTTTAGATGTTTTCTATCCTTTGAACAAATGCTTCTGTATTTTAAGCTTGGAAAGACACCGGGAAGCTAAACACTTTCAAAAGGCACTTTTCTTTCAGTAGTCCACTTATAAAGTTTGCTTTATCTACCAGTACAGAGGGAAAAAAAAGAATAAAGCTGGTTTTATTCCATTTAAAGTAGTTTTGGTATTTCTTTGCTCCATACCAAAGTCTTCCTCCCCCAAAATAAACAACTGAATTACAACCAAAAAAAAAAAAAATCAAGAAAAAGAAAAAAGTTAATAATTTCTTCCAGTTCTCGGAGTTTTATATAAACCGTACAAAATTATCATCATTTAGAGTTGATATTTTTTCACCAGCCCTGAATTTTCAAAGTTGTAATATACTATTTTAGAATCTTTTTATTAAACTGCTTAATGATTCCAGTCTGCAAATGAGCATAGACTTTGCTCGGTTATAGATCATTGAATTGTGGGGGAAAACATAGTAAGCTAAACAGTCAGTCACTGCTCATGAAAGACCCACATTGTTGATTATTTTTCACAGCACAAAAGAAAAGTGACAAGTGATTCATCCTGCAATGTCATCTGCCAATCTTTTCCTATTTATGTAATCTTTTGTAGTTACTGTGTGATTTCGCATTGTGCTATTGTAAATCTTGGATTCATTAACATAACAACTAAATTGATCACCTGGAGTATTGAAAAAATTTCAATAAAATAAGATGCGCCTCATAGTTAAGGAGAGACATAAAAATCAAAATGCCATGTAACAGTTTGAATTTAGGATTTACTGTTAATCAAAAACACCTAGGAGACTTAACTCACCTTTTAACTGAGAATATGGGAAGGAAAGAGAGTAAACACATTAACTTTTGTAGCAGGAGCGCTGCTAAAAGAAATGTAAAAGGAAATACTATGACAGACAAACTGGCTTTTATCCCCTCTGATACCAATATATGTGCATACAAGTCATAACACTACAGTGTTTTAAGGGCAAAAATATAGCTTCTTAGTTTATAAAACCTAATTAGCACTTGAAAAAATTTACACTCTGAAATTAAAACCTTAATAATGAGGCTGTATATGACTGGTGATATGGAAGAGCACTGTGCTGGCTCCAGAGGTATGTTGCTTGTCTAGGCACATGCTGCAGAACTGATTGGAAAATGGGCCACAATTGGAAAAGCCAAAGAAGAGTTTCCGTTAACTTCAAGAAATACTGGGGTTCTTGTTCTTAGAAATCGTCAGCTTCCTAAAACACAAAACAAAAGTTTAAATGAATAATATATTCGAAAAGAGTGCAACAGGAATACTTGGCATTATGAATTACATATGTTATTAGATCTTCATTCTGAAGGAAAATATTCATATTCTCCCCCAATTTAATTTTTAAAAGAAGTTTCCTAATCCTTATTACATGATTTTCAGAGTTAGTATCCTTAAATCGTAGCCTCTAAGTACCTTGCATGGACACTTGGATGATCCACAACTTGCTCACGTGCATACATTCCATATCCTCCCCACTTCTCTCTCTCGTTACAAACAAAATCAGACATACCGAAAAGTAGAGAAGACAGCATGTGGAATTTACTCATCCGCTACACTTAGTAATTCTTTCTTTTCTCACCTCCTCTCCCCATCACCTAATTCTGAAGCCTTTTTTTGTTTTATTTGCTTTTTTCCCTAAGATTTTAAAGCAAATTGCTGACATTTACCCCTAAATACTCCAGTAATCATTTTTCAAAATTGGTACGTTTTCTTTATAACTACAATACCATTACTAGACCTCATAAAAGCTAACAATAATTCCCTAATGTTATCCATGTAGTTAACATTTTCATATTCAAGACTTTCCCAATTGCCCCTCCAAGGCTTTTTTTACAACTAGTTTGTTCACACTATTATTCATCAGTTGGGGATCACACATTGCACTTTGATTGTGTTTGTCTCTTAAGTTTCTTTCGATCTAAAACGTCTCCCATATTTATTTTCCATGACCCCAACTAGTTAGAGAATCCCTTTAATTTTAAAGAGACAATAGCCATTGGCTGGTAAAAACTCCCTTATGTTAAATTTGGTTTTCTGGTTTTACAATACAGTCATTTTTCTCCATATTCTATTTTATAAGTCTTTGAGGTCTTTCACTGGAGCTTTAGCCTATAAAAAATGTGACCCTCTATAATTTTCTCCCATGTAAGAGAGCCAGAGTTTTACAGGATAAAGTCATTAATATCAAGAACTTTCTTATGAGTATACAATTTAAGTTTGCATGTCTGGATTTATAACATCTAGAAATTAAATGTGTGGACCTATTTCAGAAAATGGGAGAAATGCTGAGCATGTGAAAAATAAATTGGCCAGGCATGGTGGCTCACACCTATAATCCCAGCACTTTGGGAAGCTGAGGCAGGTGGATCGCTTGAGCTCAGGAGTTTGAGACCAGCCTAGGCAACATGGCAAAACCCTGTCTCTACAAAAAGTACAAAAATTAGCTGTGTGTAGTGGCGTACACCTGTGGTCCCAGCTACTTGGAAGGCTGAGGTGGGAGGATCACTTGAGCCTGGGAAGCAGAAGTTGCAGTGAGCCAAGATCGCACCACTGTACTCCAGCCTGGGTGACAGATTGAGACCCTGTCTCAAAAACAAAGAAAAGAAAAATAAATTATCCTACTTTTTAAGCCTGATGAACCTAAAAACTGGAAAAATAAAATTATATACTACTGAAACTGGATTCATTTCATGTAGTTATTAATACCAATAACTAAATAAGAGGAGTTGAAATCAATTCCAAATAGTACAAAAGTTCTCCTTTAAAAAAATGCCAGATATATCTATTGAGTCACTCTCTTAATACCATGATTGAGAAATAAGAATAAGCAGATAATAATCTTTTGATTTAAAAAAAGATTTACATGTTGAATATTTTTTATTATTAGTGGTAATAAATATAATCCCGAAGCCACAAAAAAACCTTAGAATTCTCTCAGCTTTAATGGCAGTAGAGTCCAGCTTCTTAATCCTTTGCACAAAATACACTCAAAGGAGGAGGCTTCCATAAGAGTAATAGAAGACTTTTGTCTCCCTGATCCAGCTCCTCTAATTTCATATGAGAAACACCTAACTGTCAAGTGATCTGGGAGATCCTCATTGGAGATGGGCTGGACACATCAGAAAGCTGAGGAAAGAAATCAACATATTTGTGAACCTTACCATCTAAAAATGTTAGTCTGTGTCTTCTAAATAAACAGAGACCTTTTTCTCTTGGTTGAGCCTTTCCTCTTCATTTCTGTAACAAAGAAGCAGAAACCACACGTCAGGTGAACAAGACAAGAAGCAAGTAGGCAAATCCTACAGAAGCTTCCAGTAAGGTATTTTCCCCCTATACTTTCGAAACAATCATATGCACTTGGGAGTAGATTGAAGCTTACACAGAGCTAAACTGGAGATATCTAATTA